TAATGAATGTATCTAATATCAATTAGAAACTATACAATAATACATTTGATATAATTAAATATAATTGATATACGCATACCAATATCGTGTACGTAATTATTGAATCTCTCGTGAATGATGACTCGTTCAACAGGTAGCCTAGCCGATCCACGTCCACCAGAATCCAACTCCCATTCTCCAACGACCGCCGTCCACAACGCACCGATTGGCAAATTGAAAAGGTCACTGTAAACAAGCACCATAGAATCAGAATCAATTCGAAAAAATTATTACCGCTTCAGTTGATTCTTGAAAATACCAAGAAGCTTTGAACAGCAGCAAAGGTAGTTCAATGTGTCCTGTACTAATTTCCTAGCGTTTGTCGAAATTGTTAATTGGCACTCACGGTCCCACTAGGCAATATCGATTTCTACTTACCCTGTGCCTCACTTATCAGGCCAAAGTTCCTCGTAACAAAGTTACACTGTTTCTACAGTACCGAGTGGCAAGTATAATTCGTAAATCATATTCCTCCTCTCTGTTTAAACGCTCTGTGGTAATTAAAAAACCGTGTTGAATTTTTAAAGAATTGAATCGAGGCTTACTTGTGGATACAGTGAGCCGCTGTAACGACCCATGTGGGCTCGATGAGGACACCGCCACACCAGTGGCCGATGAACCCCATCTTCGGATGCAACAGCTGGAGGGAAACCTGCCAGGGCCACGAGCCCCTTTTGCTCGGTTTTCCGTTGAAAATTCGCCCGGTCGTCACGGCGACGTTCTCTTCGTCGAACGTATTATTTCTCCCGCTTCCTTTCGTCGGGATCGCCCTCGGTTGCCTGTGTGATGCTGCTGGACATCCGCATTCTGTTATTTAAAAACTCACGGTTCTCACCTAATTGCGTTACTAAGGGAAAAGCGTTTCGTCGAAAACGATCCTTTTTATAGAATTCAGAGTTTTCCGATGATCTCCTATTTGTATATAGAACTCGGTCAACTTACTAGCGCGAAAGGAGTATCGTCGACAGCCATCTAGCGGGGAATACAGGATGTTTCAAAAATGTTAGAGGTCCTTGAAGGAGTGAATCACTCTTTGAGGAGTGAATCGGGGAGGGGGGGGGGTGATTTGAAACAACTTTGTTCCTTAGCGAAAATGTTGTCCGAGGCTTCGTTGAGGAGATATTAACGGAAAACACTGACCAATCAGAGCGCGAGGATGCCGATGGAGCGCTCGCGGTAGCGTATGAACGCGGCCGCCTGTCGCGTAGCCTACGCCTACCGTGGGCGGTCCACCGGCATACTCGCTCTCTGATTGGTCGGGGTTTTCGCTTAATATCTCCTTAACGAAACCTCGGACAACATTTTCGCTAAGGAAAAAGTTGTTTTAAATCACCTCCACCCTGTATATACAGGGTGTCCGAAAAATATTGTAACACCTTGAAAGGGATGGTTCGGGAGGTGATTTGAAACAACTTTGTTCCTTAGGGAAAATGTTGTCCGAGGCTTCGTTGAGGAGATATTAACGGAAAACACTGACCAATCAGAGTGCGAGGATGCCGATGGAGCGCTCGCGGTAGCGTATGAACGCAGCCACTTAGCGCGCAGCCTTCGCTACCACGGCCGCTCCAACGGTATACACCCGCTCTGATTGGTCGATGTTTTCCGTTAATATCTCCTTAACGGAACCTCGGACAACATTTTTGCTAAGGAAAAAGTTGTTTCAAATCACCTCCCGAACCACGCCTTTCAAGGACCTCCAACATTTTTAGGACACCCTGTATACTATTCGAGGACCCCTTGCTCGTACAAAAAGATGAGTTATAAATTGTCCCTTAAGTTAGTTAAGTTTATTAGAATGTAATCGATACAATCGAAATATAATTTGCTGTCTCAATGGTGCAAGTATCGATTTTATTAAAACAATAATTCGTTAGCCAATAACGAGGTATACTCACTCGAGTGATTCTCTCCCACGATCCTCACTATCGCGCAGTCGATCTCCGCAAGAACGAAAAGAAGTATCGCTAGTCCACCGCGAAGATTCATCTCCTCAGAACAGAGTGCACCATTTACTCGATCGATTCGTTCACTTTTCACTCTTTCTCACTGATCATATTTTTTTTTTCGGCGCGATTACGTCGGTAATCCAGCGAACCGTGGGTAACCGAATAGACGGAATCGACACGTCAATCTAAGAGGCCGCTTCTCAACCCTCGACAGGCTCCACTAATCGACTTACTCGTTTATTAATTCGTCTACTTGACGACTTCACTCGCCCATGTTAAAAATGAAAATGAAATCTACGACGATCTACGAGGGTATATTTACTATTGTTTTTCGAATCTAGCCCAGATCACTATTCATAATTACAGTCGGAGATCGCGACGAAGGAGACGACGATCGATAGCACGAGCGATCCTCGCGCTGGATCGCCGACTCGCGGACCGAGTAAATCCTTCCAAGTAACCTAGAAGAAAGTGATCGTTCACGATTCCCATCAAGGAAGGGGCACGCGCTTACGTTTCGCGGCGAACGAATGGAAACTGGCATCTCCTAACGGACGAAAATCGCTCTCACTAACGAAAGTTACAAGTCGCCTCTCGTTGCGCCCCCGTACATACTCTCTTCTCTTTCACGCCAATTAGAAACGCCTCGTGCAGTCGATTACGTTTTATGAGCCATTAGCATAACGATTTCAGTAAATGGTTGCCGTGAAAGGCTCGAGAACGTCCTACTAAGTCCTGTTAACTCTTTATATTAATTAATAATTTAATAATCGTCCCATGGAAATCTGAAATCTGTTGCTTTGTACTTCGTTTACGTCCGAAGGAAAACTCGAATGGTAATCCTAATTTAAAACTCGGTTGGTAATGCTAATCTGTAATTTATTCCGATCCTAGGATCAAGTTCAGATACTAAACGATTGATGATCATCGTTCGAGAGGCCTTATAGATCATCGTTTCGTTAGTTTTGTTGCACGTTCCTCGATGGCAGTCGAAGTGTGACGATATCGCTAGTATACAAGGTGGCCCGATAGGAACGTACCAACCTAATATCTTTATCTCAAATAACGCAACGGCCATGTTGCATTAGAAGCGAACTATTTGTAACGTTTTTTGACAGATGTCACCAATCGTCACGACAAGACGACAACTTATCGACAGATTTCGCGCGTATGTACCGACCGAACATTATTTTTAACCCTGTTTACGAAGAAACCAAGAAACTACTTCAACATCTGCTACATACGATTCTCGTCTATAACATATCCTCCCATTATTCGAAGCAACGAAAGTATCGAGAAGTCGCGTTTCTCGCGGATCACTTCGTGATCACTTATAATCCGACTGACTTTTTGGTCTTAGACGAATACTGGATCATACGTTAATTACTATACGTAGCAAACTCTAATCGTTGCGCGCAAGTGGTCAGTTTCACTGCTCCATTGAGGATGTCAGCGAAGCTATGCGATATACAGGGTGGCCGTCTAGAATACCTGCGTGTCTTTCGAAGAAACGAGAAAGGAAATTGTCTGAATTTTTTTTAAAGGTATACTTCCATTAACGCAGTTGACAATTGAATGAAATAATAGCAAACGTTACTTTCATTGTTAAATTATTTCTGGAATTAATCGTGTGCTGATATAGGTTATAAATTAGAATCATAGATTGCTACATTGTACACGGATTGACCTTTTCTGAAACACACTGTATAATGGTTCTTAATGAGGCCATTTCCTTCAGGAGGAAAGCTAGCAGGAATGTGGTTTCGTTATAATATTCTCGGGTTTGGTACGTTAAATTCTTATTGCGCTAGATATACATATATACAGGGTGTCCCAAAAATGTTGGTGGTCCTTGAAAGGGGCGGTTCGGGGGGGGGGGGGGGGAATTGAAACAACTTTTACCTTAGGGAAAATGTTGTCCGAGGCTTCGTTGAGGAGATATTAACAAAAAACATTGACCAATCAGAGCGCGAGTATGCCGGTGGAGCGTAGGCTAAGCACTAAGCCGCCGCGCTCATACGCTACCGCGAGCGCTTCATCGGCATCCTCGCGCTTTGATTGGTCAATCTTTTCTGTTAATATCTCCTCAACGAACCCTCGGACTTTCGCTAAGGAAAAAGTTGTTTCAAATCACCCCCCGAACCACCCCTTTCAATTTGCATCACAATAGAAATCGTTAAATTTACTGCTTCAGACTTCGTACGTACATTGTCGTTGAATGTATGTCGGACTTTAACTCTTTGGAGTTTTCTGATTTCAGTACAGAGAATAAAATCTTCGACCATATATACTTGTAGGAAAAGATTTCTTCCTGTGACGTCACAAGATAATATTTGTACACCATTCGAGACTATTTTATATTTTGTTACCAATAATTATAAATAAATAATATTACTCTCGACATCTGCGTATCGTTTTTACTAATTTTTAAACTAAAACAAGTTATATGGAAATAATATTACAATTTAAACTTGACATTTCAAAATTACGATTTCCAAAATACGTTACGATAAGCATTATTTAAAATTATAAGAGTTAACAATTAACAATTAATAAAGTAAAATATATATACTACAGAGTCAACGACAAAGTTTCATCGTTACTTTATCCTCCAGTGACGTCACATAGATGATTTTATCTTTGCTTCAAAGCGTTTATCTAAAGCCGTGTCTATAATGGTCGAAAAATAAAATAATGTTCGGTCGGTACATATGCACGCGCGAAACCTGTCGATAAGTTTTCGTGACAATTGGTGACATCTGTCAAAAAAACGTAGGAAATAGTTCGCCTGAAATGCAACATGGCCGACCATTAAAACAAGCTTCCACAGAACGTCTAAATTGAAATATTTTTATTACAAAATACATATGTCCTGTTTTACACGAATGCTCATGGAAAACTTTCATTCGTAGCATGAAACTGCGCTAGATTACCCTCGTTTTTGTCGAGTTTGACCCTCGAAGTAAGTCCGTAAATGTCATTGTAATTAATTCCCATAAATATCATCGGAACTATCGAAATTCGCGTGAATATCGTTGCAATTCATCGAATACACATAAATACGGTAGAAATACACGTAGAAATCAAACGATAACTATTAATCGAAGAAAGCAAGGAATTCTTTTAACAGAAGATGTTAACCTAAAAACGAAACTCGTGTTGTCCAGAAAAAAGAGAAAAATCGCTCAATTAGAACTTTCGGAATAATAAAACCAGCCCGCGATTGAGCCATCGAAGGATAATGCAAGAAAACCCGAGAGACGAAATCACTTTTTCGCTTTTTTCTCGAGAGGGAAAGCGTGTCGCGCATGTGCACAAATGTTTTTCCTCTAATTCAGTTATTTAGATCCTCTAACCAGCGATTATTGCCCGCATCGGATAATTTCACGTTTGCTCGATAGGTAATTACTCGAAATGTAACATATTTTTTCGATGTACTGTTTTTTTTTTTTTTTACAGAAATCTGCCGTAACTGTGAAAGTTGGATGGCACTCGACTCAAATGGACCGACGAAAGTGATCGTTCTCGCATTTCTAAAACGATTCGACGTGTTATTAATCTTGAAATACTAACCGGGATCGTAAGTTCGTATACAAGACCTAGGTATGCGTAAAAAATCTATAACGATCCGACATAATTGGTTTAGCTTTAAAAAATGAACCACGCGAATCGCTTTACGACGAATCGAAAGCTCGACGAATCGACTTGGATCGACTAACGATCCTCTAACGACGCCATTGCGGCGAAAACCGGAAGTTACCATACCCGTGTAAATATTTGAACGAGTTTGAATGTAAATCAGCGTGTCTCGTATTTATACCTTCGTCCCAATACCGCGTATCTAACATTTTTAACGCAATTTGTATCGTAAGTGTTTTCAATTGTCAAGTCTATCTTTGTTTTCTTCTCTACTCTGTTCTTACTTTGTTTCTTTGTTTTCGACCAGGTTACGGTCTCCTCTACGCTCAAACTCCATAGAAGAAACTTGTTCATCAGTGACAAAGATTGGCAAACTTCGATGGGGTAAGTTCCGCGGGGTGCCTGTTAAGTTCGCGTGTAAATTAAAGCTTTGAATGTATTTATGTGCACGCGGTAAAAGCTAAAGTAAACAGTATTTAAAAGTTTAACGCTTTTTATTCATTTTAGATACGCCTCCAGAAGCTATTTCATATAACCGAAGACTACCGAAGACGTCAGCGAAGTAACTAAACGAATCCTGTCCAAAGATTTGTCTTCTCCTTTACTAGGTTGGCCAAAGAGTTCGCAGCAAATTAATTAACCAATTAAAATTAACCGCAACCAATTTAAAACAAATGGTTCCTGTACGAATACTTATTACACTGACTGTATTAACTCTGTAACATATCATCCATTTTGTTCTGGGATTCTTTCCCATCTTTTGGGAACCATTCACCATCATCGCCCCAAACCAAACGAACTTTTTGGCCAACTTGAACCGACTCTAGCTAATGCGGAACTTAGCGAGCTAATGTATTACGCGTCTACCACCCTTGCGTTGATTAGTACCTACATATTACATTAGGTACGCGCCTAATATATCGCTATCGCACAGCTGCTGTTGTCAGTGCACGTGTTCGTGTTCGTTCGCTGTTTAGTAGGCGTTTACGGCGACTGATTAAATCGCGCATCGTACGTGTGTATAAAATGAAATGTCCGTACAATATCTCGCCTACTCGTTTTTACCGCGTCATGTTTGTCCATTTTTTATGTTTTTATTCCCGTAACGTATCACGTTTCTTCGTACTTCGTTCTTTCTCTTCGTTCTTTCTACGGTAATTATTTTCGTTCGTGCCATTAGCTGATTAAGCATAGCAATCTCGGGGGACGTTGAAAAGGTGTGTCGTTTAATATTAAAGATTACCTTTCGTTCATTTAATACTACTGATCTGTTCATTTTAGATGTTACTCAACTTGCATTTACGCTCATGCATCTATACATGTACGTGTACAAGCGGAACAAACTTAATTGGCAGTTCAAGGTCATTCTCCTGGAACCCGTCAGACGTAATTCCTACTTTTACCATGTGCCAGATCGTCTCTTTGGAAGACAGAGGGTGTGTTCAGAAGTTACCAAGTCGTTTCATAATCTACGATAATTGTAATCTAAAATTACGATATTATATATTAATATTGTATTATATTATTGTTTTTAGAATTATCCTAGTCCATCGGTAGTTCGACATACGCGAAACTATTCATCCCAGAAAACGTGTACATCGCCAGATTATCTCTTTGAAAGACAGAGGGTGTGTTAAGAAGTTAGTAAGTAGTTTCATAATCTACGATATTGTAATCTATAATTACGATATTATATTGAGCTGTCTGGAAAGTCCATGCCGAGTAGGCGGTACAGGTCTGTATATATCAGAATGGATGAAAACAAATAAGATGTATACATTCCTTAACAGGTGGAAAGGTTGTGGAACAAAATGGTACACATATAATTCAATAAATATACATCAAAATTCAAATATGCCTTTGAATTTTTCTTGAAAATAGGCATGAACTTTCCGGACAACCCAATATATTAACATTGTGTCATATTATTGTTTTTAGAATTATCCTAGACCATCGGTAGTTCGTCGTACGCGAAACTATTCATCCTAGGAGACGTATACATCGCACATACAAATTTCACCATGCCGTACTTAAGAAATGCGATATAATCAAATAGAGGGTATGTTACGGTGACCTGCTTCCAGCGATCCACTCCGTAATATCGGCGTGCGACGCGTACACACGCGCGCAATTGAGGGTTGTTCGATTAAGAAGCAACAGACCCCACCATGTACATCCAACCACTTCTCTCTTCTAGAATTTTTAATCTAACCATACCTTCGAATTCATCGTATATACTCATCAAACATGTATCGAGGTGGAGCCAAAACGCTGCTTCTAAATCTAACATTATCGTAAAGGGAAGTCTCCAGAGTTAGAATAAATATTAGTCATTACTAATTCAAATTTTAACCCTTGCAGGTACGCTGTACATGTACGTGGGCTTTTAACGCGAATTCAAGCCCCTGAGTGAAACATAGCACGGCTCCAACGATCCCAACCTTTCTGACGGTACACGCGCCGCAGTCGACGCTGCTCTAACGCCAGTGGAAACGGGTTGGAAGGTTGGATCGAGTCGGCGATGTTGACATGCGCGAGGTGGACGAAGATACGTCCGTGAAACGAGCGTACGGTGTCTCCCATAATCGTACGGACAGGGAGAGTGCGCGTTCCTGATCAGTAGCACACTTTCATCGCGTCGAGGAAAGCGAGCGAGACCGTTTCGGGAGCGTCTCGTCAACTGTCGTCGACTTTGAGACGAGCAGACGAGACCGTTCGTGCAACGAAAGGGGGAGTTCAGAGCTGATAATAAAAAAAAACGTGGCCGCTCTTTAGAGACGAACGAAGCACGGTCGAGAGAAAGGGAGAGAAACGTCGACGACGCCAGGCGGTTCGATCGTTGGAAACGTTGCTCGTTTTTGCTCGAAGGTGGGGTGTCGGTTAAGGGCTCGCTCGGGCTGTCGATTTTCAGTCATAGGAAAGCTGACAGATCTAGCAGAGTTAGTAGAAAGCGTCGTTCTATAATCAGAACCGAATTAATCCATGGACTTTTAAAATGCTTTAAAAACTACTGCCTAGAACCGCTTCCAAACAGTAATTTTAATAAGTTGTTTCATCTGCGAGGGATGCTTCTAAATTATATGCTTAAAATAGTTGATATATATTTGTATATGCTATGGTAAAATACAGTAGGTATCTATACGCTATGTAATACTCGTTACATACGTACAGGACCTGTAGCCTAAATTTTTAATTTTAATTCGGTCCTTCCCATGGTCGAACGCGTTTTCAATTTATCACTATACCACCTCTGGTATGCGCGTTTCCACATAGTCTATGTGACATAGGCCCGTACCTTTTCGGTAAAAGGGCAGTCCTCAATCGAAGTCACGTGCGAGGGAAAGTCGAGAGTCGAGCGAGCCCTAAGAATTGTATCGTTCGAGAAAGTCGCGACGTGGAAAAAGGAGGGATAGAAGAAAACGAGCGGTGCGCGACCCTTAGGAGAGGTATAGAATCGTTTGTAACGTCTCTCGTCTCGTTCGTAGATACTACTTATAGATACTACATATCCTGTTTACCAGTGACCGTGAAATGTAGGAGAAACGTATCCGAACGTGATGAAGGGTTGAATGTGTCGTACGATCAACGTGGCACGAGGATGGTTCACCGACAGTTGTAACACTTCAACGTTGACAAAGAACAAGGACGACGAGGGAAACATAATTTATAATCGTAAGAAATAATTTTCTCGCTTAAAGAAATCGTCGGTGCAATTTGAATGGTCCGACGATAAACTTCTGAGATACGGTCCCGTAAGGAAGAATGCTTCGATTCAAGATGGCTGATTTTGTTGTGCATTGATTTGACAACATTTCGATCGGCACGCTGTTGTGACCCGAGGGAAGTCTACGAAGGCGAGTCTCTGTTGTTGAACTATACGGGAAGGTACAGCAACTATTCCCATTTTAATGTATCAGTCCAACCTATTTTACACAAATTTTTTTCATAATTTCCTTCATTTCTATCATAAAATCTAAGATCAGTATCATCGTATCTGTCATTGCCCTTTCAATTTTAAAATATAAGTCTGTACGTGTGGCTGATACATTACGATTCATTAGGTCTATTAAATCTACCGGTCTAAAATCAAACATGATCCAAAGAGATTTCTTAAAAGATGCCTGTCAAGGATTCTTCTACAGACCTAACTAGACTTGACTGCAGAAATAGAAACGGATGAACCAGAAAACTAATTAGCACTTGCCTCTATGTATCATAAAATCCAAGATCAGTATGACCGTATCTGTCATTGCCTTTTCAATTTTAAAATATAAGTCTGTTCATAACTGATACATTACGATACATCAATTGGTCTCATTAGGTCTATTAAATCTACCAGTCTAAAATCAAACTTGATCCAAAGAGATTTCTTAAAAGATCCCTGTCAAGGATTCTTTTACAGACCTAACTAGACTTAACTGCAGAAATAGAAACAGATGAACCAGAAAACTAATTAGCACTTACCTTTATGTCGAAGACCTCTATGTATCCACATGAAATGTTCAATTTGACTATCGTTTGCAGACAGAAAGATTCAGTCAATCGTCTGATGGCAACAATGAGTAGAAGCAACGAGAATGGTATCGCCCTGGCGACGCCTCCTGCGATTCACGTTGGCCCTATAGTGAATCCGATCACCAACGAGACCATCTCCATCGTGATACCGTTATCAGCGCAGCTGGCTACCGTCACCAACCAAAAGGTCGACAAGTCCTGCAAGGACTGCACCAAAGACGCCAAGCAATCGTCCGCGTCACGTCTCAGGAACGACAAGACGAAAGGATGCCCGTATCCGGGCTGCACGCGATACGGTCGAGCCTTTTCAAGGGCGCACGACCTGAAACGTCACATAGCTCGTCATGAAATGAGAAAGGAAAAATTGTCCGATTACGAGAATTCAGCCGCTGGCAAGCAGCAATTGGTCGGCAACGAGATCGTCGGCAATGTAGCGAATCGGTCGACCGACGGACCTCAGGTCGCGTGGACCGACGATTCGCGAGAAGCTATGGGAAAGTTCTATTGTTGTCCTCATTGTACGAAGAAATATACCAGCGAGAACAAGTTGTTCGCTCATATGAACTCGCACGGGAAGGTATCTACCGACTCAATTGTTTGGCTTACGATGAAATCTATCTATATTTATACAGCGCTTTATATAATCAATTTTTAGTACGCGGGGAGAGTCCAGAAACTGAGCCGAGCCGTGCATGCTTTCTAGCGAAGTCGAGAAAACTGTCAAAGGAAAATCACTTCACGATTCGGTAGTCTACTTTCGTACGAATACATTCTTTCCAAAAAGATGCATCGTTGCCTCTGCGTGAACGCAGATACTCTTCCTCTTGCCAACTTTCTCTGTCTTCGTTTAGAAAGGAGCCGGAGTCCGACTTAATTTCTATATTCGTCCACGCATTTTAGCGTTTGGTACGTCTTAACAACCTGGTCGATGTCAATGACGCCGAATAAATATATTTCGAAATCATCGAAGTTAGCGAGGCTGGTAACATGGTAAATAATCCAATTCTAATTTATACAAACATTTGATATTAGGTAACGGGCAAGAACGTTTGCGCCATCTGTGGGACGAGCTCCAAAGACGGGGAGGAGCTGCAGATGCACCTGAGACAGCACACGGTACACTTGCTGGAGACTCAGTCGGCACTGTCGAAAGGCGAGCCGAAGAAGGAACAACCCGACAAGGAGGACGATTTCCTTTTGGAAGAGATGCTGCTTCTGAATAAGAATCCTCGACGGAAACCGGAGAAGAACGGGAACGGAGCGTCGAAGATCAGATGCGACTATTGCTCGAAAACCTTTAAAACTAAATGGACCCTGAGCTCCCACGTGGCGGCTCACGAGGGACGTTTCCAATTCGACTGCGGTCAATGCGGGAAGAAGTTCGTTCGGAAGAGCCACTACGAGGGACACGTGCGGTCGCACGAAGCGGCGAGACCCTACGTTTGCGAACAATGCGGGAAGACGTTCAAAGAGTTGAAGCACAGGCGGGAGCACACCAAGAAGAAGCATTCTACGAACCAAAGCGCGATACAGACTCTGTTGGACAGCATCAGTCCTTACGCGTCGGATGATCTACCGGTCGATCAGACGAAATTCACTCTTGTGATCCCAGAAAATTTCTCTGTGTAAATTTCTTTTTTATAGAGCCATAACGAAATGTTCACTCTGTTATACAGGGTCTATCCTAATACGCGGGACCTGTTTCCCCAGTGGAAATACTTGGTGTGAACGTATCCCAACCGCAAATCAAACTAGTCCAACTGATTCTATTAGACTATGCACAATGTTCGCAGTACACGTTCAACGTGGCGCCATTTTAAAATCAATGTTTCCATCTCGGTAGTTTTCAACGCGATCTCGCCAGCTTGCTCTAAGGTGTACAAAGAGGCCAACATGTACAGTGGTTGTATTAATCGTAATGTTACCGTTGTACGCTTAGCGAAGCCTGCACATAATTGTTATTGTATGTAATTTATGTCAGACGTCATTTTTCGTTGAAATTCTTAACACTTTATCTACCGGGCTATTTAGAAACAATCTTTAATTAAAAAAAGAATCTTCTACAGTAGCATATACCAATATAGGCTGGCAATAATTCCTCCATACTGTTACTAAGTACATTGAAAGCCAAGTCTGTTTCCAAAAACTGAACATTGTAAGTAGACAACCATCAACACAGTAAATAAATTCGAAAAGCTAAAGACTGGAATTAAAAAGCCTATAAATAGGCTCCCGGTAAATAAAGTGTTAAACAAAAGAAACGACTCTGGATATGCTTGGACGAGCGATACACAGACCAAAGACAATCTCGATTCCGAACAGTCAACCTGTACATATAGCGATTCTAATAAATCAACCGAAAAATACTTGTTATTTTTAATTCCTGTACGCCGTGTAGAGAACCGCGAAACAAGAATCGAGAGATACTATCGAATTCGTTGCTGCCTTGTTTCGCTACCTCACGCGCGTTAGACATTTTTAATTTTCGTAAATTTTTATCTGGAAGCAACGGTGTCATTGACGATGCACAAAAAAAGGCCAGCGTTATAGCGAAAGAAACCACGAGATAATCGTTGTGCATCGACCACGACGGAACGGAAGTTTCTTTTTTTAAATGAGGGCGAACAAGAGGCAAAGAATACCAACTAGAAGATACGAGAGGCTCGAGGAGTTACAGACAAATTCGAAGACGTCCTCGTCCCGGAACGAAAACTATCAACGCTATGCATTGGATACGCTACCGCCGGAAGTTTTGGAAATGATCCTTCGGCTGTTACCTTTCCACGATGTAGCCACCTCCGTACGCTCAGTTTCTAGGTATCGTACACTTTCCTACTTTCAGGTGAACCGTTTGAAACCTTTCAAGTATATATTGTATACTATTTATTTCAGGCATTGCTCGATGGTTGCCGCGACCGTGTTGAACAGCGCATTTCTCGCAGCTGGCGCGAGGCTAGACAACTTGACGAGTCGCAACGAGAGGGCGCTGAAGGAGGCGAATACGAATGAGACGTTGATGATCCGCAGCAAATCTCTGAACGCATTGGCGGTGATCAAGGCTCAGTACAAGATGCTCAAGGCCGTCACGTGGCGGTACACGCATCCACCGACGAGGCAACAAAAATTCCCACGGCTTTGTTTCTATGCTGGCAGCTTGCTGGACGACTTGAACGATATCCTCCATCGACTCGCGAGGTTGTCCATCGTCAGCACGCATCCCACGGACTCCGTTGTCACGTGTTTCATTACAGTTTGCAAACGATTCATGAATTTCTTCGAGAAGGTCTCCGAACGCAGGGTGAATAGGTAAACAGATAGTTAATTCCTTGATGAGGTAGTAAGCACAAAAAAGAAACGCATCATATGAACAAATATCGGCAGGTCAGCGTTGATCTCGGGATGCAAGATCGTAGACGTTCTGGACTGTCTCGTGGAAGGTAGACAAGTATTGTTTTTCAAAGTCTCACCGAAGAGAAGCATCGCCAGCAGAGCTGTCAGCATGAAACTGAGATACGTGATGAAACGCGCTTGGTTCACGTGCCTGGAGATTTCAAAGAACTCCGAGGACAACTCCTGGAGGGACGAGCAACGTTTCATGTACCTCAGACTGCGTCGTCTCGTCAACAGCGTGAACGAACACCTCTTCGAAAATTTACATTACGAGCAAGAGCTGGTCTTGCAGGTGGTTCTATAAAAAAAGAAAAAGGAAAACATTGTAAAGAATCGAAGAGTAGCATCGAGTGAAACGATTCTGTCCATATTACCAAGCATTCATCCTTGAAGTCTCAGAATTATTAGAATTATTAGATGTTCCTGCCTTAGGGAGGCAAACTGCTAGATAACTGATGATCCTTGCTGGACAGGACCGTTTGAATCCAGTCGACCTCTTTCGTTCCTCTCGTCTGTCGATGACCCTTACCCAAGAACACCTTCCCTTTCTCCTTCTCCAGATACCTGCTTCAACCTATTCGGGATACGGAGAGTACGGCGGTCAATTCTTTTACTACGGGAACATGAATAAATACGCGTACGAGAGTAAATTCATACATACCCCGAACCCGTTGAATGTCACGCTCGAAACTGGACAACGAGCGGAAAAACCGCCGTCTTTCGACTTGGTGATCGAGGTCGAGTTGAAGTGTACACCCGAGCTGGCGCCACTCGCCGTTCGAACGGTCTTGAAGTCCGACGAACTCGAGGCCTACGAAACGAAAACGTACAAGCATCAGCAGATGTTCTTAAAAATGAGCGTGACGTGTCCGGCGTCGATAGCTAACAGACTCCCGGGCAACTTTGTATGGGAATTGCGGAGTCCGCGACGTACACGCAAAACTTCCTAAGAAGAATCGCCACAAATTATATATTATACATCTTATATTAATTTTTATTCTATTAGCTATATACATAGAAAACATTTGATAATAGTTATTCGTAGAAGAGCGACAAAGTAATTCGCAATGTATACTAGTAACAATCGATGTTCGTAAAGATACGTGATGGTTCTTCGATAGATCAGGTATAGAGTAACTAGAATAAAAAATGCCGAGTACATATTTTTATTTACACTATAGTTTCGAGATATAAAAAATTAATTCGTGACAGACATTTTTACAGGAGCTTCTATGTTATCCTGTTGAGTCATCCACGACGACTCGTTGAACTTTCTAGCGCGAGCTTCCAAAACCTGGTACGCGAAGTGATTCAGAAGGATTCCTTTCGGAAGCGCCACGCCTTGGAATCTGTATAAATTATCCGAATCCGTTAGCTTGTGGACAGCAGCGACCGTGCAACGCCCCACTAAATTGGTATTCCCTACCATCGGCCCTTTACTGATATCTATGTGATCGCCTACTCTATACAATGTAATTATATCGTCGTTGAGTTTCGCGATCTCTGGTATTTGTCGAGACTTGAACGGATTTTCTTGAAACATTTCCAACGCGATGTTTTTCGTGGTCTGTATCCTCTCGATAGGTAGCTCTTGATTCGCCAACTTCATGAATTGAGCGGACATAGCACGCAGTTCCTGATCCACGGGTTTCCAATCGGGTAACTCGAGATGTACGTCGTATATAAAACTCCCGGACGATATGCGCGGCACTGGGAAACTGTGCAAGTGAACCCCTATTTCTGGTTTAAACGAAGACTCTATCATAGCACCTAACAGGAACGAACAAGTTCGCCAAAACGCTTTGTTCACTATTTGATCAGGCGGACTCTGCAAATTTAGCAACTTCAATTTGCAATTAGATACTAAAGGTCTGTGCATGTCCCATGGTGTGTCGTCGACTAGAGCTAAAGCGGACACTTTCACGACACCTTCCGTGATGTGCTTCGCGCAATCGGCCGGAGTCGACAAACATTTGTTCATTACAAGAACAATTTCCTCTACGGGAGACTGATAAATAACTTCTATCTTTTCTATCCTTCCTAAGCTATTCTTATACTTCTTTTTCTCCTCGTCGAACAGGAAATTTCTCCTCTGCTTCGCTTCGACTTTTGATAGCGTGCTGTTGTACCTCGATTGTATATACGAAGCTTGCAATCTCAGCACATCGAAGCTGAAGCTTCTACACCTGAAACGAACATATGTAATATTTCATTGCAGACTTCAAGATTTAGTTCTTAATAAATAACTTGTATGCGTACCTTTGATACATGTTGAAGTATCAAATCAAAATTTTGTTGGAGAGATATACCTTATAAGCGAGTTACACCATAGAAGGGTGCTTCATGTATAGTCGATTTACCTTGCACCTTGTGGTTACCGGATTAAAAGACATCTAAAAACATACACCAGTTTGTTCGTCGATTAAAAAGATAGAAGTAGAACGCTATCTATCGTAACACTATGTATGTTACTAATACGTATAATATAATGCAGCTGTTTAATATCAATAAGTTGTACGTTATCGAAGCTACGAATAAAAGGTTATGGGCACATTTATAAGCTTTATTCGTACCTAAATTTATCGACCTTAATTGCAAACGAAGCTCATGACGTTTTGGTCCTTTCTGAGTACTTCTAAAATGACAGTAGATTCGATGTATTATTTTTCTCATTTAGATGAGTACAAGTTTTTATCGAAATTACAACAAAAGCCGCATTCGGAATCAACGTACCAACAACAATTGAGTTTAGTACTAAAGAGAGCCGCAAGGACCGTTCATACCTTTTTTAATTTTGCAAGGCGAACGCACGTGTGAATTATGATAATAGAACTTTTACTTCACCTACGAACAGCTATTATTTAGAGGATCAATCGCAAACATTCGTTGCGACATTAGTAATAATTAACGAATAATTCTATGTGATGAAGTAGATATAAACAAAAGCACGTGATCGTATTAGAAGAGTATCAATAAGAGCTTATTCTTCAGAAATTCATCAGAATTCATACTTATTTGATAATTAGACGTAATTGAAGGCAAATTTTTAACCTATATATAAATTTACGTACAAGTTTCCACCATTCGTGGCAAAACACCCAAATTTGTAGACGAATAATTCTTATTCCAACCACTAGATGGCACCATCATTATGTTTACATAATAAACAGGGAAATTTAAAATAAGAACAAATAGAATCCTATTTTCTTCTGTATAGAGAAAGCTTCAGCGTAGAAGTAAAGTAAAGAAATGCTGGAAATTTTATTTTACAGGTATCTTTTGCGTAGCACTTTATTTGAAAAGTAATAATAACCTCCGGACTAAATATGTTATCGCGTCGTTCATCTCGTTGCAGCTGATGTATCCTGAGTACTTTGTTCTCCTAACATTTCAGGAGGAACTGTTTCAGCGACTGATTCAACGGGTTTCTCTGTCAAATCATCCTCTTGCTTCCGCAGTGTGTAAGTTTTCGATGGCACCTCTTCCGGTGGCATCCAACTCGGTACAATCTTTCCATGTATCCGCCAAACACCGTATTCGTTGGACAAATGTTTCTCGAACACTACATAGTCCAATACATCTTTTCTTAATATCTCGCTACCCATTACTACCCTTCCGAATCTGTCGTAAATGCACAGGATCTAAAAAAAAAAAGACAACGAATCTCGTATGCAATACGAACACATGCATTATAGCGATAAGATTTGCAACGCCAAACCTGTTGAGTATGGAAACGGATGGTGATTTGGGCGAATAAATTCTCTTTTGTCAAGACACTTGTACACCTTGCATGGACAAGACGCGCTGGTTCTAATGATTCTAAGAACTGCCAGTGAATCGTCTTGTCCGTCATATTATGCATCATTTGCTACGATCGTATTACATTTATTAACATATTTACAATATAATTGTACTGAAATTATATATATTCTAAAACTTACAGGAAACGCAGTCTCCGTTACATATTGTATTAGTTTCTCTTCATCTTTCCTGAGGGCATAATAAATATATTACATTACTTAAAATTCATGTTACTAATAAGCTTTTATATACGAGACTTACGCGGCTAAAGCTTCATGTGCTTTTTTATAGATATCCATTGCTTGCTCTGTGAAGAGTTTAGTTGAAAAATTATCTTCGTATGATTTAATTTTATTAATAGCTAACATAGATTTGCCTTTTTTTTCTATAAATTCAAATTTCTGTTTTGCCCCCTAAATATACAAAATAGAACTTTAGAACAATTTCTTAGAATTTATACGCTACGATTATAGATGTATCGCGTACCTCTTTGGTAATGGTAGAAAATTTTCCATCACCTTCTGGAACAACGTACGATTCAAATATGTTAGGCGTACAAGAAACAAAGTTAGGTCGTTCGTTCCATATTCTTTGCGGTATTAAACCATATTTTTTCATTTCCGATCGTATTCTTTCCTTAGACATGTCTTCGGACTCATCAAAATTTAGAAGTTCAACTTTTATAAACTTTTCTCTTCTTTCTTTTTTAAACTTTGGATTCCAGTGCTTCTTTATGGTTCTAACTTGCTGAGAATTATCGCACGGAAAGTTGATAGGACTCAACATTAAAGGTAAATTATTCTGAAAAAAAGTATAGTTTATTCAACAACCAGAAAAAATTGCTTATCTTTCAATTCGCTATTCAAAATTTTACTCGTTTTTGGGATCAAATTCACCTGCATATACTTTCCAAAAATGCAAACGGCACTTCTGTATTGTGAAATCATCTTCGCGTGTGTATTTTAAAGTTGCATATAATAAAGAAGTTTGGATGTTTCGTTTCACGACTTAATTGTATTAAATTTTACACTTCCACTGTACATCATGTTTAGGTTATGTATCAAGAAGATTGTTGTACGATCAGTGCGCAGCAGCTCACTAAGCCGCTCTGTGAGCAGTTGAGCAGCGTCGGTGACGCCATCGGTGGCGAAACGCTCAAGTTTGTAGTGAAAATAGTTCCCAGCGTTGCCGCTAGATGGCGCCATCAATAGATTTACTTTATTTTTTATAAATGAATAATTAATGCGGTTCTATGTTTTATAATGCTGTCATATGATAGTTAAAGATGCAAATTTATTATTCCTATGGATAGTTATTTAATTTAGCAATAATTATCGAACCCTATGTTAGTGGCGCCATCTAGTGGCAACAGTGAGAACTACACACTTTGGCGTTTTCCCACCGATGGCGCCACTAGTTTTAATTTCAAATTATTGTCAAATTTTGTGTAATTTAGAATCTAAATATAACTATAGTTTTCTTTGCTCAGGGAAAATACTAATTTACTAATTAATTTACGAAAAATAAATTAAATCTATTCGTGGCGTTATCTAGCGGCAACAGTGGGAACTACTGTCACTACAAACTTGGGAGTTTTCCCACCGATGGCGCCACTGGTACAAATCTACCGAACTATACTAAATATTAGTATAGTTCACTGCTCCTGATGTTGCTCCGTTTGACAGGATAACAGAGAATCTGTGTTCGGTCATAATTTGTTATAATTGCACGATGTCAGCCATACATAGTAAGTCGCACGTTTTCTTGACCCTTCAACACCGATACGATATTCTACGCAAACTGGAAAGCGGTATATCACAGTCCGAATTAGCTAAGGAATACGGAGTCACCGACGTAACTATCCGCCGCATCAAGTCGAATGCTGTTCAGATACGTCAACAGTTTCATATACGTCAACCTATACAGATATCTGATGTCAATGACCAAGATAAATCACGATTGTCACAGTTCGACGAACTCGATGCTCGTCTGCACACGTGGTTCCTAAATCGACGAGCAATAGGCTTCATCGTCACTGATCTATTACTACAAAACAGAGCGAAGGAACTGAACCAAGAACTCTGTGGTCCATCGTCCTTCTCCGCCTCCAAAGGTTGGCTGTGGAGATTTAAACGTCGTCATGGTATTCGTTACTTCAAACACCACAGAGAGAGAACATCCGCCAATGCAGGAACTGCTGAGGAATTGTCTCAAATGTTCCTCAGGCGGCTGGAGGAGGAAAACATAAAGCTACAGAACGTGTATAACATGGACGAAACGGGATTACTGTGGAAGGCTGTCTCGCAAAGGTTGTTGGTCCACGCTGGGGAAAAAGCGATCCCTGGGAACAAAGCAAAAAAGGATAGAGTCACTGTTGGCCTCTGTGTTAATGCAACTGGAACGCACAAGCTTCCACCTATCTTTATCAACAGATACGAAAAACCGAGGGTTCTGAAGCATTGCAGAGACCAGTTGCCAGTAATTTTCAAGTCTCAGAAAAATGCTGTCATGGACAGGAATGTGTTTGCGGATTGGTTGAAAAACCATTTCAGGCCAGCTGTGAGAAAACAGCAGTTTGAAAAGGGTATTCGTGGCAAAGTGTTGCTGTTGCTATGTAATTCCGAATGTCATGCTCTTTCACCGGAAGATCAAACGCAGGACGATAATTTCGAGATAGTATTTTTTCCTGCAAATGAGGCATCCTACTTACAGCCAATGAGCCAAGGAATAATCGAGACAATGAAGAAATCTTACCGCCATCGCATGGTGAAGAAGATCTTGGAATGTCCTGGAGGAGTGGAAGAATTTTATAAGAATTATGATATTAAGGACTGCATTAGCATAGTCAACGAAGCGTGGATAGATGTAAAGCAGCTTGATATCTGTAAGTCCTGGGAGAAAATACTGGGAGACAAACCGATTATGGAATTAGAAGCTCTAGGAGACCGGGAGAGCTCTCCTGGTGCATCAAATATTATCGCTATCCCTGGAATAGTACAAACAATTGCGGATGAGAACATTCCCCAACAGGACATGGAGGAATCGTTCTCTAGCAGCAGCGAAGCTGACGATGATTTAGAATTGGAGGCCTCTGATCGTCGCTGCACCGAAGAAACGTGCCTCAGACGAGAGCTGTACATGGATAAAGTAGAAATAAACAGAATGTTCATGAATCTAGTCCTCTGGTCGAAAAAGCAACCAAAGTTCATTAAGACTCTGGTGCAGTCGTTAAAAAGTTTCCATGAATATACGCAGAGATGATGTAATTGTTACTCCAAAAACTAATTAAATTTTAATTAAAATATTTTCTTTGTATTCTTTGTCACCTATTTAAACTAATATCGTAGACGATATTATAAAATAATTATACGATAAATTATTTTATACAGTATATAATAAAATTGTCGATGGAAGTTCTTGTTATCGCCTTTATTAATTTCATAACTATGAATCAATAACAACAAATAATACTGTATAAAATGATGCAATGTAATGTCGCTATCGTCACGAATATTTAACGTTTATGAATCAGGCCCATGAACATTAGTACGTACTGGTATAACAGTATAATGTCAACATAAATTTGGACCGATGCAAATACAACTTCGTCTGGATATAACTCTATCCTCCGTCCACCCATAATCGTTTGCACATCGAAGTATAAATACTAAAAAAACACGACACTTATTTTCTTATCTTTGTACGCGATACAGAGCAAATATTCTATAGAGCAGAAATAATTTTGTATATTAACCAAAGATAGTAAGATCATTCCTATAATAGAGATCACTATGTGTAACACTCTTATGTAGGTAAACATCAATACTATCATCATCACGACGATACTAACGATCGAACCCAATCCAATGATCATCATGATTCCTGTTCTCATCGTTAAGTCGAACTGTAAAATTGTTATTGATCGTATAAAATTCGTTTAATGTTATCGTAGATTATTTGGTAAAAAGGTTGTAGAGGTAGATATACCTTTGCAAACGTTGCTAGTAGAGCTACCCCAAATGTAATTAACGTTGTCATACTCAACGCCATGAATATGATTTCGATCTCGTAAAAAGAAGACGCGAAAGCAGCTAAATACGACATTGCCAATGTCTGGAAATTACAAATTATTCAACGCTATTCGCTATTCTATTAACGTATTTACCGAATAATAAGAAGCATCCAATTAATCAGAAATCAGATTCAATCAAATGTCTCACCAATTTGCATAGCCATATGTAGTTATAAGGTGGTTTACGCCTAGCACGTTCAGAGAAAGATACGGCACAATATGAAATGGTAAAGCATACCCTGAGAAAAGAAACAATCGTCGCTATTAACATTCTCCCTGTATAATATTAGTAAATAATAACGAAATTTACATACAAAGCTATAATCCAAAAATACCAATGTATAATCATGAATTTTCTCGCGGCATCTCTAGAATACAAAAGAAAATTAACATTACACAGATGAACTAGACAGATACGATTGTAATGTGTAACTTATAACACTGACACGAAGAGAAAAAATGCTATGACGCAGGCTGTGAATAATAACTGAAGCGTTAGGATACAGAAGACTTTTCTAATAAACATTCTTCTCACGACTGGTTGTTTAAACTCTCCTACATAATCGGATTCATCTGCATCAGGCTCCATTGCCAACCTCTGTTGATGCTCGAGCCATGCTCTGTACAATTCTTCGTTCTCTCGTTCTCTCTCTGCTACCATTTCAGCCGTAACGTTAACAGTATATGGCCCCTAATAATAAAGAACATATTAGTAATATTTAAATGCTGTCCATTAGGATTTAAATATTACATTTTCACTGCTCACTGTTTGGATCTGTTGCCCTTCAAACAGAGGTGGCAACTGCGGAGGACCTGATATGAATCGTCGAGCCTGATGATCTCCTTGCATCGAGGAACTGACAATATACTATCAAAGGTTTAAAATGGTGATTAGGCACCGAACCTGGAGCACTGAACAAGTTAAGTGTTAAACGTATATATATATACGAAATTAAAACTTCCATTTTAATTGTCCATGTATAACTTTATAGTTCAAATCGATATTACTTTTTAATATTTACGATTAAGTAGAAAGTAATTGTCACTTTATCCTCCGTGTGTGTTTATTCTTGCCTCTTTCCATATTTTATTTATTTAAAATATTCATATAAACGTAAACGTCAAACATTCGTAAACAAACAAATGAACGTACAAATATTATCAACAACTGTTAAACGAGATAAGAGTTAACGTTTGTTATTGTTTACATAAGGAAAGTATTGCAAAGCAAATGTTAGTTTAATTTTCTTAATATAGTACATATCGTTTTGTACAAATAATATATAACACAATGCAGATATATTTTTCTTCAGTGACAACGTATTTTAAATAGTTCATTTGGTTTAAAGGTAATTCAAATTGTACAGTAACGTGTATGACCTATAAATCGTGGAAGATTCTTCCACTTTAATAATATATATATATATATATATATATATATATATATATTTAACTTACACGTTGTCTAACAATAGTTACGTGCTACCAACGATCGTGCAGACTGCTTCTAAGTACGCGCAATGCACAATATTAAAAATACGAATGTTATTATAATTAGTCTCGATATAATATATCATTTTATATGGTATATAAACCAAGTAACAAACTGTATAAAAGAATCTACAGTATCGTATGTGAAAACACACGAACTTACTATTCAATTTTGGTGATGTATATGTAAGAAAAATAATTATCGTATGCAATGTAAATAATAATAAATACGTTTAGAAATATTCTGTACGTATATGTACAATGGTAACACAGTTAGGCAGGTACATACAGAAGTTTAATCGAACTTAAGATGTGCGCATTCTCTCAGGTTTGCATTTTTACGTACAAGTATAAATACCGCTTTGATTTATATTCTATGAAACAACGTGGTAAAAAAAAAATCAAAAACAAATTATTATTCTACAATGACAGTAGAACTTAACAATCCACCACTGAAAGTCGTTCGAATGTACTAAAATTATGCTTCCTTAATTTATAATATCAAAGTTAAAGTCACCACTGTAATGAATTTGTAACAATTGTTTTCGAAATTATTGTGGAATTGCAGTTTACGATTAGTTACGACTTTCTATTGATCTCTACCTGTAACATCGTATATGAAAATAACGAAATATCTAAGTATCATTGCAACATTATTATCTCGAGCTCAAATACTCCATCATCTATGTAATACGCAATAACGTAATTATTGCTATTATACACGTTAATTGAAAATATAAGAAGTGATTTGTAAAGTCGGTGTTCACTGGTAGAAAATAGTGTTAGGCGATCAAAAATTTGAGAATTTTAAAAGCGAAATTAGTAGAATAATAAATATAAAACTATATACTGATCCTTCTCTACCTTCGGCTGACTCCGATTAATACATCAGTCTTGTGAGTAGTGTGTATAGAAAACTTTCATAATGTATAGAATTTGTTAAGTTTCCCTTTGCAAAGCTTAATATAAGTTTACAACGCCAGGCACTATTAGTTGCATTAACTGTATTTAAGTTAAAGTATCTATTGTACGTGTCATCTACTTCGATCCTTGCCTTTGCTGACATTATAATCCGGATTGATTGATCTGCTCCTTTATCTTATTGTATAAAAGCTGCGAAGACGACGAAAATATGTATCACTTATTACTTTTTATATATATTAAGTGAATAAATGATCATCTAAATTACTGACCTGTCTCGTATTGTGATCAGGTATTAAAATTACTCTCGATTGGCTTGCGCTACCAAATATGTTTCCGAACTTCTTTCTCTTACTGCTATCTTTTATAAAAATCTGAATTCCTCTATCGACTATTTTCGGCGACTCGCTAATGTCCTGCCACGTGTAAGTCCAATCCACCTAAGAAATTATGTTAAAAAAATATCGAGAAATATCGATAGAAGCGATATTAAAATTATACTAACCCGCCATCCGCCGAATAAATCGCTGTGTTCTATGTACGCTATTCTCTTGTCGGTAAGCAATACAACATCCTTGATAATGTATACGTGGTAAAAATATATGTCGGTGTTTGCGTATTTCCCTTTCTCCAGTTCCTGCAGACACGATTACGTAGTAAAATGGCTTGAAATTAATTAACTTTATAATAAATAACGCTTACATTTAAAATCTTGTGTCCCTCGGCTTCTTCTCGTATAAATGGTCTAACTAAATTGTCTGGTTGGAAAAATCTAGGTGGTCTTACTCTTTTTGCCTCTTCGTTCAACTCAGTCGCGCTAAAAGAATCGATAATAATTGTAATTACTGACACAAGGTTGTAATAATTAATTTTTGTGTACCGTTTCACTGCTCCGAGTGATCCGCTCGCGAAGTCTATAACACCAGCGGTTGGCCTGGTGACGAGACCAACGACACCCTTTCCAAAGCCTTTGAAGAAACCTTCTACTCCTTCTTCCTTAGCACCCGATATAGGCTTCATTACTACGCCAGTTACACCGTCGAACACACCCTAGAGCGATGTACACGATGAACGATACATTTCCCTTTTAAGAGAATTTTCTAATTTTATTCTGCAATCTAACGTACCATCACCAAACCTTTTCCACTACGAGCAAGACCTTCCTGTAAGTTGGCGGGTTGCTTGTTGAGTTGCTCTTGTCGCTTTCTTTGGTAATCTTTGTCGAAAGTTAAAGCAGCTATGCCCTTGCCTGGAATAAAAATGAAAATAAATTTATTTAAATCACCTTTAAAGATTAAGATAATATAGTTGGAAGATGTACCCATTGCTCCAGTTATTTTAGAAACTGCTCCAGCCATTCCTCCGACCGTGTGACCCAACATGCTCTTCACGCCAAATAGTAGGCCTTCGGCGAATTCTCCAGGTCCTTGTATAGCACCTTGGAAAGGTTCGTAAAACAAATCCTCGATACCTTTCATGGTACCGACGACGAGGCCATAGGGATTGCCTATCACGTCGAGTCCCAACACGAGGACGTATACTTGCTTGATCGCTTGCCCTACGTAATGCATCGTTGCTTCGGAAATTAGTTGCTTATTGGTCATGAAAACATAATCTCTTTCGAAATACGCTAATCTGCGAAGACAAAGAGAAATATAATAAGGGGTTAAATCTGGGTTAATCGAATTAGAAATGTAAGTACGAATTACTTGAAAACAATGTCGTTAATGTCGGTTAAAGTGACACCAATTCCTTGCAATAACACATTTAATACTTGAGGTACCGCGGAGGGGCCGCTATTACTGCCAGCCATCGAAAAACTTATGTGAATCTGAAAGGAGTAAACAAAATGCTTTCGAAAATGTTGGGAACCATTGGTTTCGAGTGTAAAAAGCAAACCTTCAACGGCGAGAAATGAAGTAAATCGAAGAAATTCTTCTGTTCCGCTGTAGTGATTAAACTGACGTGGTACATTAAAGGCTCGTCCACCAATTTCATGTCCAGTTTAAATAATTCGCTCTAAAATATAAAAGTGAATTTAATGTTTCAGTATTCCATTCAGTATTCCAGACAATTCGCGCACATAATACACCTTACCGCTTCCGCGTCGTTCATTTCGTTCGTTTCGAACAGCCCCATTATCGCGTTAATAAATAAGATATCCACTTTTACGTGGAATTCTTGAATGAGAACTTTAAAATATTGAAACTGTTGAACGCTGCTGTGCTCTAACAAGCGTTTAACCATACTGAGCTCAGCGAATGGTTTCATTACTGTAACAAAACAGGAATATTTTTGGCAAATTCCTTGAAGTACTGTTTTAATCGACAAACTTACCGATACTTTGCGTGACACTCTTCGGAGGCGGAACTGGAGCTAATATAACTGGGAAAACACAATCCGAAAGTTGATTGTCGATTTGAAGTCTGTTGATTTTTGCATGCAACTGCACTTGATGCGCCGAGGTTCTATACTGTAACCATAGGCCAGTTTGAAACGTGCGTCGCAGAAATCTGTGGTGCGGTTTAAACATTTCCATGTTCAAATAGTCGACCTGCAATGAATCGTTCTTATAGTAGATACAATATCGATCGAAACACCTGATGTTTCTTACCTCCAATTTTGGTTCAAGCATTACTCTGTGCGATAGGTTCTTTCCTATTTGTACTTCTCGTATATAGTTTTGGTAGCCTTCTTCGATGATGTTTACCTCTCTTATACTTATGCCACGCCAACGATGAGAGGGGGATTTGCTCGTTTCCCATATAATGCCGGAGCTGTACAATAAAAACCGTTAAAACTACGATAAAATAGTCATCGTGAATTAGTATCAGCGTATCAACGATCTACCTAGCTATGCACATGTACAATAATTCCGATCTCGTTATATTGTTAACAAGCGAAAGTCCAATTCCATGAATACTCAGCGTTACTTCTTGTTCTATGACTTCGAGATCACCGAGTAGCTGACAGTCTTCCGCGATTTTCATGTTCGCCGTGAACAAAAGTATTCGTTGGGGACCATCCAAAAACGATACGTAAAACACTTCTTCCTCGAGATCTGGTAATTGAAAAGTGCCTAGAATGTCCTAGAAAAATACAACTTCTAGTAGCGCCGAGTATCACATTCTAAAATCGTCCTAAACATCAAATTTCTACCTTTCGTACAGTATCTTCGATTTCTTTCTTATTACTATCTTCCCATACTAACTTTCGCGGACCTGCTGGGTTCTCCCACGTGTAAAACATTCTATTAAACGACTGCACGGATCTGAAAAGTAATTAAGATTCTTATAGACATTAGTATAATTTTAAACAGAGTTCTGCGAGTTTCTCAAAAAATAAATTGTACCTGACGTTCAATGAACCTTTTTCCCAAAATTGAATAGTGTGCGAGGTGTGATTAATAATTAGGGCTGGAGCATTTCCATAAGTATATGCAGAAAGAGAAATGTAAATTCCTCCTTCGCTTATTTGGATATCCACGTTGATCCCTCCATACTGTTGAACAAATTTGGATATTGTTCACACTTGCGAACGTTCAGTTTAATTTTGATAAAACATTCTATAGAGACGAACCTTGTTATCTAATTTTAGTAAAGTTGTATGACTATCCGTATAAACGAACGGCGGTGTTTTCTCGGGTTCGCTTGCAACCTTGGCTCTCAAGGTCTTCTGTTCGCTCTCAGAACGAGGCCAGAGAGCGGTGCATTCACCAGGTGGTACCTATAAATAGTAATAAATACAACACAAAAGTAATAAATACAATGTTTTGTCGTAAATATAAAATTCACAACTATTTTACTTCTTGCATACCTTCATCATGGGATCAGCTGGTCTGTCACCCTCTTGACACTCCATCAAAAAATTGGAATTATTTATAAGGACATAATACGGAGTAAACGTAATTTGTTTCGTTAAAGAATTGTAGGTCAATTGATTGTGAACTCCGATCTGCAATGCGTAAAAGTTATTGTTTCTTAACATTGTGTTTAAAACGCAATATTATATTAATTATATAGCGACCTGGTACGTCAATCCGTTGTATCTGCAAACGACTACTCCCTGGCTTCCTGCAACATCTATCGAGAATTTCTCAGACCATTCGCCGTCTTCCACTCTGATCATTGCCTTCTTTTTACCGAAGAATACTTTGGAACGAAACGAGAATAATATCGGTCCTTTAAAGTTTTCAGGATGATACAATACGTTCAAATAGTCATCACCTCCCTGAAAACATTCGTAGAATGAAACTTCAGAATGAAAATCAGCATCTTGTGAAAATATTTTGCGTGTGACGTGCAACCAATATACAATTGACTTTAATATTTCCACATGTGTACAACATTGTTCAATTAGAACAACAATATTATACGATACACTATTACGCAAACAATTACAATGAACATCAGTTTGCCAACACCAGATAACTTTATTCCTGAAAATTCGCTCGAACTTATGAGCATATATCTTTTCAGCTTTCGTCTTTCTTTCTTTTTTTATGGAAAGAAAATAAATTTGTTTCAAGTTTCATGTACATTACTTGCTGTATTTATTTACAAGCTTTGCGGTATTAGATTCTTGCAATATTTCTAGCAATCCGTGACCGTAATGATCATGCCTTAAATATAGAATTAAATAAATATACATTGCATCGAATAAAATGTATACACGTGTATGTACTGCAGAATTAGAGGATAAGCGATAGTTGTTTATTTTCAACATGTAAAAGTATGCGTAATGTTGCAAGATTATAGCGATGCAGCGTTGGAAGCGAACCGATAAAATAAATTCAACGCGAACGAAATCCAATTATCGGAGAATTATGGATAATTTATCGTAATTATGCGTAGCGGGTGATCATTGTTTCCTTAGCAATGAAATATCGATGTATTTTGTTAGTAAAGAAGCAACGACCGCAATGTGAAACAGAGTTAGTGCCTCAACGAATTTAAACACATATGATTCATCCAATTTGATGAATTGTATTAAGACTTGACTCCAAAGTATAATGAGATTAAACCAACATCACCAATATAAAATGAAAGTAATGTATCACCGAACGTGCTTTCTTCTTCCTGTATTCTACGCGTTGCCGACGGGGTTTCATGACACAAACCAAACTCTGAAAGATACCTTTTTATGTATTCTTAAAAATCGTTGATAACGAAATTAGTTATTCCCAAATATATGAAAGCTGTGTAAAATGTACGGTTCCACCCATGAGCGTTACGATCGATATGATAAGATTCAACATGCCGCTATCGTTACATCAAAGAGCGAAAAATTTGAGTTCAACTCAAATAATAATTACAAAATTAAAAATGATCGTTTCTCGAATCGAAATGAAATACACTTTTCAAAATAATTCCAATCTATACAGTTCTTAAATTAAACCGTTAGCAACGACTACATTTTTTTTTTTTTTTTAGCATGTATTACGTTCATAGCAGGAAAGTATACTGTAACATGAAATCACTACCTTGATCGGACTCGAGTGTTCTTTAGAACCCTTACTTGATTTCTGTAAAATAATTTATTAAGTGAGTGGTGAATAAAATCGTACAGGAATTCAACAATTTGCAACATTATACTACTTTCAGCATGCACGATACAACACAATTCTTACATATTGCGCAAAATAACGAACTCAAGCGTCGCTACTAAATAGCTAATACAAATTAACAGCACCGTTACGATTGTTATTCTAATAAAATAAATTGGAACATTTTATACTGATGTTGCAAAATTGTAAACGGAATACCTCTAGTGTATCATTAGGATATTTTTAAATATCTTATTACCTTAACAAGGTTTGTTTAATACTTTGTAACTGATCTATTAAAATATTATGTATAATATACGAAACGCTATTCTACGAAAATGAAACTTACTGCGGGATACGTTTATACAAAAATAAAAAAGATATACAAGTATGACAATAAGCGAGATGTACATTAAAGCTGGACAGGCTGTAAATGAACATTATAAAAAATTATTATCGTATCGTTACTTACTCTGTAAGACAACATTAGACCTGTTTTATTCAACATCCAAAATGGACAATACAATGCCATGACGATAGATCCATGTTTGTACGATGTATGCATTCCTAAGTCCAACACGACCTTTTGCGCGCTGTCGAAAGATTCGAAGGACCAAACTGAAAATTCGGGCGGATTCGCTATTATTTCGCCTCGACAGGACCAATCCTTTTCTAAGTAATTTGGTAACTGTAACGATACGATTACACATAAAACAGAAGTTGAACGAGTTCTATAAATACGAAAATAGTCGTAGGCCTGATTATAACTCGCTCACCTTTATGATTATATGAGAATTCCCAGGATCAATTGTAGGTATTTGATAAGACATGCTTGCTTCTAAAAGCTTCTCTTGAACGGCTCCAGGTAAACATACAATAATATCGATAGGCAAGAAATTCTTGAAATACACGGATGGATACAAGTGAACGTTGTAAATGGTACTTGCCATCGTGTGTCGGCTAGTATTTTCAAAGTAAACTTGCTCTATTTCACCTACAACCTGTAAACGTTGTAGCAGTTTGTTAAAATCCTTTAAATCTCTTCCTAAACGCCTGCATTATTTTTTCTTCTACTACGTTACTCTATTCTTCATACAACGATCTAAAGTGGTATACAGTACTCTCAACATTACAGCATAACAATAACATTCATTATACGTAACACGAATGAAATATAAAATACGTGCAATAAACATATTATAATGAACACTAATGTAAATATGGTCTATGTCGATTTCTTAAAGTAAAAAAATGATTGCGTTTAGTACACAAATGATTTAACTCTTTCGTTTTATGTTTGTCTGTTATCGATACATGTTATTAGTATAACACAGCTAGCGATTGTACTACGGTATTGTTTATTGCATTCACATTTAATATAATATCAACTATCTAACAGCGATAATGAAAATGCATATCTGTTCGATATCCAACGTACACTAGATGACAAACCTCTCTCAAACTAATTAGAATAACGGCAGTACCTGAATAGGTGCTTCCAGATATTTTGGGTGTTCTGAGGATAAAGTTTTGAAGCAAAGATGCTTGACGTGATCAACGAAACGACAGAATATGGATCGCCAGTTAATAGCATTCAATAATAAGCCAATATTGTTATCATTATATAAAATACTACCAACCACAATCATCACGAAAAATATCTAAAAATAAAAACTGCTGCTTATGGAAGTATGTAGGTGTTCCAACAAAACCTTTCATTATAAAGTTAAAATTAATTATCTGGTTCACTGTATCACCGCTGAATATATAGAGAACGTGGTACGTTTAAACGCACGGAGTGATACTTGTGCCATGTATTATACAGTGTAACATTTTCCGTAAAAAGGATAGAAATACAGAAAAAAATAAACGTGTCAGCTAAACTTCAACAGATTTGAATAACAAACGCGCGTAATTGAACTAATTACCTTTATATAAAATGGTTCAACGACTTCTTGTTTCGTTCGACTTTCGCATTTTAAAAGTTTGGTCATAGAGACAGTTTTTTGGAGATCTTTCCATACGAATGGTTCGATCGAAACCATGTACCTATACACAAATTAGATGTATTTGTAAATGATAATTAAATTACGAAAGAAAGTTTAATCGTAAATATATTAATTACTTTTCGACGCTGAAAAACAGCCAATTCGTTGGAGTGTATACAGCGTCTAACGGAAGATTTAATTTGCTGTCGGGCGCGACGGTGCCCACGCATTCGACTTCGTTCCCGCGTTTAGTCATATAATATACGGATATCGGTTCGCTGAAATGATTATGCACCTGAAACAAATTAAAATAGTATGAAAAAACCATCGGAGAAAATGTCGAAGCCAGTAATAAAACTATAACTTTACCTGAAGGATGCTTCTGAGAGTAACAATGGTACTTCCTTCGTCGACTACAACGTCGGAGACGATGCCCCACTCCTCGGAACTTTCTTTTCGATATCTCAAGGAAAAGAACCTCTTATCAGCTCTTAATACGGGTATAGCCAGAGTACCTCCAATTTCTTTGAACTTGAAGAAATTATACGATATTATGTTGATACTAAAAAATGTAACATTGATACGATATCCAAGTGTATTACCGAAATAATGAACTTGTCGTCTTCTCTTTCTTCTATCGATTCAGTTTTCACTTGGTCGAGCAAAGGTATATCAGTTTTTGTTGTCTTCGGAGCGAGCTCTATCGACGCTCCAGATTCAAGAATCACTTCCATATACGCAACCGCGCTATCATTCGTCATTTTTGACCCGTCATCGAAGACCTACGGCAATTCTTTGTTTGTGAACATTTTACTAACCATAACTTTAATTTTGTAATCTCGAGAGGTTAATGCAAGACCTTAAAGTGGCTGCGTTCCAAATCTAAAACGATCGCCAAACCAGTCTCGTTTTTGAGTACATAGGGCGAGAGACTTTTCGGTGTTCCTTTTTCGCTGGCTTCCATTGCGGACGAAAACGCGTTGCCGAGTTGTTTGAGGACGTCCAGACAAGTTTTCGTTACGGTTATTTCCAAGTTTTCCTGGCATCGTAAATATTCGATTAGAATAGCGAACGTATTAATTATAATTTTTCTTATCAACTTACAGTAGATATTATGTCGATAGACATTTTAGCAGTTTGATGTAATTCTTCCGGTTCGCTATCGGAAGTCGGGCTCATTATGCTCGCTCCTCTGGAATCCACCATCACTTCGTTAAATTGAATCTAGAGGACAAAGTTATAATTGAATTGAAGTTATAAAAGTTACTAACATCAACGGATAATTCGAGATTATAACAGCGAACGCGTTACTTTAGTTTTGAGTTCCCACGGCGTTGAAATTCGTTTGCCGTTTCTGGTTCCCTCTATGGGCTCGATCAATGGTTCCCACAATGCTAGACGACTGTTATAATATGCCATAATCAACGACATTGTACCCTCTATGCTCATCTAAAAACATTTATCAATTAATAAATAGATAAGAAAATATACTTAGTTACTTTAACGTTTCTTACGGATTTCGAGCTCCAATCGTTAACGTTACTTTGAAACCCAATATGAAGCAGAAGCATAGGTAACGTTTTATTGCCGACACCTGCTTCCAACGTGAATAAAATTGTTGGCGCGGAAATGATCGCCAACTCTGGTTTGTAGAGCGTAACATCTCCGCGATCGGTAAACATAAAATCTTCTACAGCTTCTACTCCTACTTCTATAAAATGAAAGAGTAATACGTGAGTTCTTTCGTTTTCAACTAAATTCATTTGAAATTATTTATACTAGAGAATCCGATTGACCTGTTTTTAAAAACCAAAAGTCGCTCTCCTCGTACGGAGTTATAATCCATAATCCTTTATGATTTGGCTCAGAAATCACGACTTCCTCGTCCTTTACTTCCGTTTTCGTAGCAGTATGAACTACTTTATTCAATATTTCTATGACACCTGTAAATATTCATAAAGGTTAAAGGTTAAAGGTTTCTACTTCGACTCTTGCTTTTTAACTCATTAAATTACCTGGGGAAACTGATACATGAATATCGGTGCAACAAATATCGATGTGAAGTCCTTTTTCATCCGGTGTAGAACCCGCTACGCTAATACTGCACGGCCTTAGAACCTTCGGAAAATTTACACCTTAATATCTTGTATCATTGATATGTAAAATAGAATTTTTTACCTGATATATCCAATCGCTTCTCTTCTGCGGATTATATATACCAGCTAAAATCGACAAGTCCTTTATGGAACCCGATATTACTTGATGTTCCCCTATCAAGCGTACTTTTAATAACAGCTCGGTCTTAAAATACAGTATTAACACAATATGAATAACGTGACACGTGAAATTTCTAATCGAATCATCATCAAATAGATATTTATTACATTTAATATGATGCAATTCGAGTCTATGTCGTCCATGTCTTCGAGGAGAATGATATCTGGTTTCTCGATGTGTAGATTAATCGTGAACATTTTTTTACTCGGTGCGGCTTGAGTTTGTTTCCTTTTCGTCGTTGGATCGTTGTAATTCTTCGGAACATTTTGCGACGCTGCTTTATTCGACGGCGTTTCTTCTATAGCGAAGAAGTCCTTTACTTTCATTAAGTAATCGAGAGATACGATTATGCTGAAGGAGAAGACTCTAATATCCACTGCAAATATAGAGTTATGTAGTAAAGTAAAAAAGTAAGAATTTAAAATACAGAACGAAACTTACCGAACATGTCGTTCGAACTTTGTCTAATAGTCATGTCCAACATGCTGCGAACAGACTTGGATTCTTCTTCGATATCATCCATAGAAGGTACTGCTGTCGTTCGTTCCATAATTCTGATAAGAGAGCCTTGTCTATTTTGACGCGTGTCGTCCAATGTGCAGTTCATAAGAAGGATCGAGGTTGCCATTAATCCATCCGCGAATATTCTACTTTTCAATGCGAAATGAGTCAAGCAGAATTTCGCCAATCCATTCTCTGGTAGATGCAGAAGAGAACTTTGCGATCGAAGCTGTAAATTATTTTGACATTTCTACATGTATACCGTAACGCAAATATAAATAAGAAACTACAAAGAGTACCATTTTTGACCCTCCAGTGTATAAACTGATCACAAGACTGTCCATAACGAACTCCAATTTAATAGACGTGTGAACGTTTACTTGTTCTTGAGAGTCTGTATCTTCCGAGTTTCTTACAGGTGCCCCTTCGAATTTGTCTAATCAAACAAAAATATAATATAATATAACTGAACGTAAAACTACTACATAAACGTTTCAACGTACCAGATTGATGATGTTGTAAAACTTCTACTTCGAGTTTCTTCTCGGTTTGACCAACAGTTTGCACAGCTTTCGTATCTTCGGCTGTTTCGCCTAAATTTTCTTCCAATACTTTCAACGCGGTCACGTAATCTTCTTTGCTTATTAACACATTTATTTTATTTAACCTTCCGGACATATCGATGTCTGGTATAGCGGTGAACCAAGCAGTCGATAAATTTCGTTTGATAAGCAACGTGAAGCTAACCGGTTCCAACAGCAATATTTCATTTTCCACTGCGAACTGTTCCATGTTCAACTTCACCCTATCGTAAGAATGATAATATAATATTAAGGAGAAACTGGTGGAGGAATATCGTAGACAACTTCGATTTTGAAATCTACATATTATTACCTGGATAACTTCAAGTTTTGCAATTCAATTTTCATTTCGTCGACGACAGGGTAATCTTCGCTTTCGTTGGTAACTTCTAGCTTTTTAAAAATATTACATATGGTAAGGTTACCCATGTCCAATGTTAAACAATGGTTGCTCTTTGAATGCATCGGAACATATATAACTGGAGCCTTGATCTTTACTGCGAGTCCGATACGGGCTGCACTTTCCTGGACGTCTTTGATGTTCGTCCTCGCGGCCTCAGCGGCCGCCGCTGAGGCGTCCTTTATAGCTTGTTGAGCAGCTTGGAAATTATTCAGAAAACTCATTATGCTAGTGACGAACATATTTAGAAAGACGATACGATAACATCCCATTACGACAGTGATAGACATGTTATTCTTATCGACGTCCGATGGTTCGATATTGTACATTGTAGCTTGGATTTGTAAAGATTCTGTATCTTCTGTCACCGACAGAATGTCTCTATAATCTGAAGCAGCGTTAAGATCCGTAATACTGATGGAGGATAGATTAACGTTCGCTTGAGAGTAAGAAGTCTTCATTATAAATCCAGCGGTGATACCACCGATATAGAACGCAGAGATTTCTCTACAATCGCTAACAAGCTTCATGCATATAGTCCCAACTTTCGCCTGAACCTTTAAATCTATGTGCTCGATCGTTGTTCTTCTTCGACGAGGCGTCGTCGTTCTGATCTTTTGTTTCTGAAGCTGTTCTTTAAAGAACGCGGAGGTTTCTTCTTGAATAGAAGTCAAACGACTCGGTCGCGGACGCAGACGACGTTCTTTCTCGATCATACTAGTCGTTATAGCGTTCATTTGATCCTGCATGTAAGTTGCGAACTGAAGTACGCTTATAAGAGCTTCCTGATGAAGCAACAAGTCCAACGTCGTAAATTCCAACTTCAATAATTTGATAACAGAACCGTGCTTCGTTGCGAATTCTGGTGATCGTTTATTTACGTTTATGTACTGTACCGTTATCAGATACTCGTCTTTGCCAGACGACATGGGAGTGTTCACCATAAATATTTCTGTATCGTTATAGTGCTGTTTCACTTGAACGCCACCTAATCTCAGCAATATTTCTTGATCGTACGTTCGTTGCACCATTTCTGCTTCCAACTGCAACACCTCGAGTTTCATAAACGGGGTTATTACGCCGTCTCTTTGAGACGAGACCAACAGCGTAAATTCTTTCATTTCGAATTTCATTTCCAAGTCGGTTGTTTGCTTAACCGGGACAGTTGCCTCTTTCTTTTTCTCGGAGATGCTAGAAATCGTGCTCAGCTCTTTCAACAGAGACAACTGAGAAACGGATTTGCTGAGTGAAACTTTCCGAAGATCCGCGGATTGGTCTTCTTGTGGAAATGGGATACTCTGAGCTATAGAAAGAGCTTGCAACAAGCGATTGTCGGTTATATTGATTACAACTGACGGCAATTGACCGATAAGTCTGAGTTTTGGAAGAAGAGGATCGTCTGTGATCAAGCATTTGTGAAATTGGATCTCGAGCGATGTCGGTTGCAGTAGCATCATATTATCGTCTACTTTAGATACAACTGTGCGCCATTCCTCTCCCGGTAGCGAAACTAATACTTGAAAATCGACTATTTTTAAAACGAATTTGTCGTAACTGTGCTCTCTAAGATGCAGCAATACATCCTCCTCGCTTTTACCCATGCTGATCAACTCTTTAACAGTCACGCCCGACCTACCATCTTTTTCTTTCTCTAAGGAATGCATTTTCAGACTACCGAGGTTTACTACTAGCAGAGATTTTGTATCGTCGAAGAACCCATCGTGCGGAATGATTATTTGGGACGCCTGCATGTCGACCTGTATATCCAATACCGAGTGTTTTTGGATAGCATGCTCCAAACCTAGAGCCGACATTTCCTTCAAGCCTTCCAACTGTTCCGCGGCGGCTGCTTGAAGTTGACTCAACGTCGACGAGTTTTGTACTTTGAACAAATTTACTAATTCTATTACGGTATGTGCGTCGTAAATAATATCCACGGACGTCGATCTCACTATCACGCGATCGCCGCACAGTTTATCGAGAGGATTCTTTTCGTACGATACGGATAATAAAACAGAATCGGCGCTGTGCTCGTGAGAATTGAAAAGCGACGGAACGTGTTCGTCTTGCTTCGTTCCTAAAAGTTTCATTTCATTGATGGATGCTGTAACTAAAACGCCGTTGGCAGACGGTCTCGACTTGAAGCACGCTTGAACAGCGTGGAGCTGAAGATCCAAAATACACGGATGTTCTTTAGTCATGTCTAAGAATATAATTTGAAGTTCGTGTAAGAGAAATCGGGTATCAATCATTTCGTATGTTTCGGGATAATGGGCTGGCGCGGTGTTTTCTTGGTAATCGATCGCTCTGTATAACTTTTCTTTTTCTTGCGGCGTCATTGCCTGTTCGAATTTCCGCATTATCGCAGCGGCCGAGTTTAAATCTTCCGTATCTTCCGTTTGCGAACCGGACCATAGAAATCCAAACCAGCCTCGCTTCGCTTTCAAGTTTTTTTCTTTTTCTGCCAACCTTTCCACTTCCATTTCGATTTGTTGTCTAATGATAACCAAATTGAAGATGTCTAGTTTCTTTTCGCAATTCGTGAGAGAGTCTTCTATTTCTTGTGCAACTTTCTTACTCGTTAATTTTGTTTGGTACACGTTAGCATATTCGCGACAAAGATCCCTGTGTTGTTTCATATGATTCCAATTCCAATTCCTACGATTTCTACGCACGGTTTCCTCTAATATGCAAGTATACGCAAAGCGCCACCTGAAAGTTACGATACGTTATCAAACGTGTCGTTTATCCTACGATGGAATTATTGCTATAATGATATCATTTATAATAGTTTATTACCATTCTTTATAGTGTCCTCTATATGATGTAAGATTTGGTCTGTACTTTCTATACGGTGCAGCTTTCTGAGCTTGGTCCAACCCTTCGCCCAAATGAACCAGTGTTTGATATTGCTTTTTCGCCAAGCCGATCCTCAATTTCTGCATTTCTAAATCTAACCACACCTTGGGAATAGTATAATTACTCCCATCAGTCTCTGGTTTTGGATTTAACTTTAATTTTGCGTTAACATTTATTGGACCCAATACTAAGGAAACCAGAAACAATTGTGTAGTTACTCTGTGGTATATTATATTAGTATTATTATTAATTATGCTTACAGTATTGGTACCCAGGTGGATTGTAATCTATAGTCGCGATACCGCTGTAAAAAAGATCCGAATAGTTTGAGTGTGTGCCACTACTAAATTGTTCTACAGTTGTATTAAGATATACAGCTAAACCATCCAGTGTACATAACTGAAAAAACATTTTTTATTCCAAATACTATCGGGATTCGTCTATAATACATTTACTAGTTCTGTTCACCTTGTAAATTTGCGGAATGGCGTACATGTCTTTTAAATTGCCATTCGTCTTCCAAGAATCTGTGCAACTTTCTAAGATAAATTTATTGAGAGTAAAACCGACCGAAAATGGATGATCTTTAAACGAAACATGATCTTCGTATCTCACGTGAATACGTTTAATTTCGACATGAATATTCTTTATCATACGGGCGATGAGCTTTTCGATCATGGAATCATCTAACTTTTCTTGCACTGTAAAAGATCAGTAGAATATTACACGTTAAAAATACATGTGATCTTAAATGTAAAATTATATAATGATTTACATTTAGTATCAGCTAATTGTTTTCTTTTCTCAACTCTCGCGAGTTCTGCCCGCTTAGTTTCCAGCTGTACTTTCGCTTCTTTCTCTGCATCGTATACAACCTGGCTTGTAGGTACTATAAGCACAAATAATTCCTCTACCACTGCGTCGATTTGACCATTCCACATATCCTTGAAGGGTATTTTCAATATAAGTTTTCCTATGGGAAATGCAAAGTATACTCTATATTCAACATTGTAATTTTTTGGGTAAACAAACATAGATAATATATAAACCTAATCTTCCATATTCCAATCTGATAGGCAGGTCTAACACATCTAAGGCAGTTTCTTTTATTAATAGATCCGTTAATACAACATCACCTAGAAACAAAAGTTATTCAATGAATAATCATAAATGTGTACACGATACTTTATCGTGTATATATAACGGATGTCATACAGATAAAGACCACGATGATAATATAAATAGAAGATGATGTCACATCGATGTACTAATAATAATACATCCATGTACATATGCGAAACGTGTTAAGTAAGAAATTATTTTAAATATCAGGGGCTTCGTCAAACTTGCAATTAAAGGTAAAAGATATACGGAATATCGCATTGTCACACGTGTTCAGGATTTCTACAGAATATTCAAAAGATTTAACGATGCATACCTCCCCATAAACTGAGTTTTAATTGCGTGTAGTCCAAATTTTGAATATATTCTCCCAGCACCTTGTTCAGGAGCTCTGCGACGATCGATTCAAAAACCATTGTTGATTTTTATTCCCTGCCAGATGAGTTGTATAAAATTGATAAGCACGAAAACGACCAACAAGGATTCAACATTTGTTATGGTTAAACCGCGACCGATTGACGCATCAAAAGTAAAATCGATCGGTAGAAAAAAAATACCGCATAACCTCAAAAGATGAAATATATATATATCGTGTAATTAGAATCGTCCACTACGTAATCCTAATCATAGCGATTCATTTACTACATAATTATTGTCATTGTTCGTTTTATCGATATAAATTATTCACCAAACACACTATCGAAAACTTTCATCGAATTATTTAAGAATCATTGATTACACCAGATTGTTACTGATAGTCATCGTATCGCTGTTAAAATGACATCGTATCAAAGTGTAATATTGTCGATGACGCGTATATTTAATTTCACAAACTCCACCTTCACATTCTAGCTGCTTGCAACCACTTGACCAGGCGTGCACCAACGTACACACTGCAATGCACTATAGTATAGTGATTATACTTGATTATACTCGTGGGTGTAGACGTATATTTCCCATATCCGAACGCTATACTACCCATGATAATGATAACGCACGTTTTACGTAATCTCATACATAATCAGGTATACACAGCCATTCAAAAATTCAATTAAAAACAACTGTTTCGAATGCAATTAAATAATCAGCAACTTTAATAAACGTTAAAACAGGAGTATAGTTCCTCGATGATACATTATTTATTCGAAAAATAAACTACAATTTATTTTATCCAGAAACAAGCTAACTTTATAGAAGTTTTACGTGTTAATTTTATTTTCTAGCAAAAGCGAAATGACGGAGTAATTTTTTTTTCATTGATTACGATACAATTGGTTAAATACGATTCAATGCAAAAACCAATCTAAATTCGTGACATTGAAAACTGTTGCATTGTATGTTGTAGCCAGAGATGAATTCAACCTTCTAACGTACACTTTTCTAAATCCTATATCTTGCAATTTTCTATAGTTATCTGCTAATACGTCTTCTCCATCGGAAAGTCGTCTAAACATATTCAGCTGAAAGTATGTAATATTTGGAATGTATTACTCATAGATGTAGATAGGAGCAACTTGTACAGTACTGAAAAGATACCTGGTTAAAAGAGATCAGTACAGGGGTTGGGAAAATTATCCATGTTACCACTTCGTTACACGGGGGAGTAGTTAACGAACCTTTATAAGTATAAAATACATCTGTATTGCGAGGTACCAGCGAAGCTAATGTTACAGGTGTTTGCAATTTTATTTCTTTATGTAACCATCGCACGTCTCTCAAATTATTTAAAATGGGATGTAACAACTTGTTATCTTCCAACTGCAACTAAGTTTTATTATGTAACGGTCAGTAATGAATCTAGATGCATCTTAAACTTACTTGAAAAAAGATTCCTAAAACCACAAGACCATTTTCGTAATTTAAGGCATTAGAAAAATTCGAATATGCTTTATTTCTATGAACTATATGCATTTCCATAGGGTATCTACAAAATGAACAAAACAACAAAAAATTAAGTAAAATTAAAACCCATACTAACGAACTTTGTATATTTTATAATCATTACCTGATACCATTAAAAACGTGCTCGGATCCTCTGTTATTTTTTGCACCCCAATGAAAATGTAAATGATCTAGTTCGTATTCTTGATTTACTTCGAGACTAGCACCAAATATGTAAGGCAAATACATATTTCTTGCGTTATTATTTATGTTTACAACAACTAAACAAATCAATATAAAATTTAATATTTTATAACGGAAAAACAATTAATTTAGTTTTTGCTACTTGTTTACAAATGTTTATTTAAAAATCAAATTACCTGAGTGACCGTTATTCTTTAAATGTAGTGGTCCTGGAAGATAATCATGATAACCGATTACCTCGAGTGCAGGCAAAGGAAGAGGAAATGATTTGAATGACGATATGGATATAGGAGACTGTAATTTTCCTTCGCACAGCTTAAAATCCTTACTCCACAAATGTTGACCTAAAATACAAAGACATTTTAAAATATAATCGCTAATTAAAAATACGATATTACAAGATACTATATACTACGTTTACTATATCCAAAATTTCCAATAGCAGGCGATACTGAAAAATAATTATTAATATTAACAAATAACAAATATTTAGAGAGTATATATTATATATTATGATATATATTCGAACTTACTAGTTTCCAATAGACTTATAATTATTATTATGCTGTTCATGCTTATCTAAAGATATTTTATATTTTATATTTACACTTTTAAATATACCTTTGCAACTTGTTAGAATTAATTAAAGATAAAGTCAATGAAAAATTGATATGAATGGACCAATACTTAAAATACACTTCATGTACAAGTCCAAGAGACATACTGAGTTATTTTCAGCATGTTCGAACTGTTTCATTTCCATATTATCTACATTCTCTATTATCATCATCAATACGCGGTTTCTTCGGTACACACACGTATCCTTATGTGCTTCATCTCAATTAGAGCTATAGTAACACGAAATTCAGGTATTCAGTTCATAAGAAACATCTGGCATCTTATGTGTATCGTCCTTGAAGAAGAAAGGACATGTATCCAGTAACTTATAAAAACGAATTAATAGATTTAATACAATATTTATTTTCTTGTCACTCGAATCTATTTACTTTTGGTATGACATTACTATAACAAAATATACACATATAATAATAGACATGATAACAGTTTATTTACATATACACAAGTGATATTTGTCATTATCGTAATAGAATGAGCTACTTAAATTACTGAAGGTATTCAAGATTTGCAAGTATTAATTGATTGAATATACAAAATGACTCAGCAGAAACAGGTCATCGTATCTTTACCATTTTAAATACGTGAATTATACATACATATCGACATACTTATATATTAAAAATTAAAAAAATATATATCACAGACTGATCGCTATGCTCAACTAGTATTCAGTGTGTAATTGTTTTTTTTTCTAACACTATGTTATTCACATTCTCGGTACGCAAATAGAAATATGCAAAAACTGTGCATTTGCTTCTGTTATAAAAATTGTATATAAGTGAAGATTTTTTTAATGATATCTTTTTAAACCCTTCTACTTCTATTTATAGAACGTACAAACTTAAACTGAACAAACTCTGCGTATCATTCGCCTTGCTGTATAAAAAAAATACACGACCGCTTGCAATAATTGCACGATTAAGGCTACTTTAAGGTTACTTCATCTTAGATTTTCAAGATTGCCGACGGTAAAATGAACGTTCTTGCTACAAAATACATTACGAGTACTACTTTCAATATCAAAACAATAAATAAACAACATTTATAACGTTGTTAAGCATTTGATTATTCGAAAGGCATAATAAATTAGTTATATAAAAAATTGTTTCCAGTAATAAACATTCAGAGACGCGGTATTTTAACATCTATAGCACCGTTTGAAATTTCATCTGTTTCAGTGACTGAGATGAAACATTAGAAATAATAAAAAGCGACGTGTCATTAACGTTTTATAGAAAATTGATAAGTTACGATTTAAAAAAAAAAAAAAAAAAGTAAATCAACGGGATAACTGATATTTTTAATTCAAGGCTCTCTTATGTAACTATCCATTTTTTGCTTGTTATTCGATCAATAAAAAAATACAGATTAAAAGACGACAAATATTACCGGTTGTTACTTATGATGTAACATTTGTCACCTTACCATTAACTGAATATATTTGATAAAAAAAGAAAGGTATCGTTATCGTGTCCAAAATACAAATCGTATAGTATTAGAAACTCTATCAATTCATCCTAACGAATTGTAACTCTTTGATGATCACGCGGGGTATTTCGATCGACTAGAATATTTTTTTAGGCGTATTAAAGTTCCTTTTATACGTCCTCGGTCTCTTTTGTTTTGCATGTCGTAGTAATTTGCAAAGGAATCGAAAACAGTTCCTCCCATGGCGGTTGTACCGAGTTAATGACCGTCTCAGCGGCACTTACAGAAACGAAATTCAACACCCACGATTCCTCCTGTTCCGCTACCTCGTCTAAGAAGTTCAAGGTCAGTGACGAACTATAATGTTCCTGTAAACGCGACAAACAGAAGACTGTATTACAGAAAAAGTAAAGAATACGCATTTATATTAATTGTATTAAAATATTATAGTACGTATAGTTGAATTAAAAATTAATATCACTCACTATTCCGATTAAATTGCTCATAGCTTGTTCCCTTACTATTTGCGGCGTTTCTTTATTGCTCGGTAAAAGCCACTGTATATTGCATATCACTAAGACGGAAGCCGTTATGATCAAACTCGATAATTTAAGTTGCTCTTCGAGATCCTGGTATTTTAATAAGGCGGAAGAAAACAATGCGAGTAGTCTCACAGCGTCGCCATCTTGAAAACTCTTGCAATCTTTTAATAAGCCATGCATTAAAACAGTGCAATGTTTCGGTACTGAAAATTCAACTTCGCAACTAGGTGGCAAGGATGAGTCTGCAAATAAATATTTATGTACTCGAAACGATGTTACAGCCCCGAGATCGTTAAATAAGCGGTTCTTTCGTTTACCGGTGGCGTAGAATAAAAAATTAGACGTTCTCTGAAAATCTTGCAAGATGCATAAAAATGTAATGGGGGATTGCAGTTCTTGGTTCAATTTGTTAGATTGTTCTAATTCGACCAAGACACCTTGTTTAAATGGTAACGGCGAAAACGATCGTAATCTATCCATTGTCCAACTGATTTCCTTATGTAACCAACGTTGTGGATCCTCTCTATAATAAAAATAAAAAAAGAATTCAATGCGTAAACAAATTAGTCGCAGATAGAATGCATACTAAACGTGTTGTTTTTACCCCTCTAATCCATCGATTCTAAGAACATAAACTTTCGATGTAGACAGAACCAAGCAACCAGGAAACGTGTCCTTCGCGTTACACATGAGAATGTCCGCCTATAAGTTAACGAACAAATAAAGAGTATTTAAAAAAAAAATAGTTGCTTGAGAAGTAGAACAAAATGGACATCGATCGAATGTTCAATGTTTGATATATTACCCTAAGTAGAAGAATGAGTTCCTCGTTTTCGTGTTCGAATATGTTCAAGATGATATGTAACTTTATTCTGTGATCTATACTACTAAAATCGGTATAAGAATACTGGATATTACTGCCCAAGAAAGGCGACGCTTCTTCCTCTTTTAACAACGGCTTGTTACTGCCAATCTTTATACTTTGAAGTAAACCTAAAAATTCGAATATTAAATATAATTGAAACATTGCTCAATCGTGGATCGAAACTAAACCGTGTCGTATCATTTCACCTACCACCTAGCATAGAAGTTAGATTTGTTACGGGCGTGAATTTGGTCTCTTTATCGTTACTACTGTTAAGGGATTTTTCATCCGCGTTAGTTTGTCTGATTATTTTTTTTTCATACGCGGTGCATATACTATCTGTCAGGGAACCTGTAATAATAACGCTATTAGTTTATTAATTCGCAATTATTCGTGACGATAATTAGGATAAAACTGCCAGCAAACCTGAAGAACTACTCTCGGTTAAACCAGTCATGATTGGCGCTACGTCTGGTATCGTTAAGAGAGACGGGGCAACAGCTGTACGTCTTTCTTCTGAAGACCGCTTTCTATGCGGTGTCAAGTGAGTTCTACGATAATTATAAAAGTATTAGGAAGCAAAGATTAATATATGAATGACTCCGTAGCGATATGAATATTAAATTATACAAAATGTAGGCTACCTCGAAGCTTCATCGAGGATTTCGATGCTGCTTTGGCTTGGGTTGCTAAGAACCTCTATATCGCTCTCGTATTTCCGGTTTAGCGCATTTGTGGATGGCGTAGATTCTCGCGAATCTTCTAAACTCGTTGCTGAACCTGTTTATAAAATGTTCGTTCAGTTAAACGATTAATATACGTACATATACACGTCAATGTTTAACATAAGTTTAACACAAAGCTTATTAGTTTAATGTGTGTACACTAATAGGTGCTCATACTTTTCTTTTTGTTTCCCTTAGTGCTATTAAAAACGTGTCAAAATAAATAAAAACACGAATAAGAATTACAGGACACTTCTATCTTTGCTAGCTTCAAAAAAAGGTGGAAAAGTTTCTTGACAATTCTATTCAATAATATATATATATATATATATAATATTCTTGTACAGGATATTAATATATTTAGTTGGTCTTAGAGTAAAATTCAGAATGAAATTGTTATAGTCATTGTAAATACGAAATTACGAAAGTACCAAAGCTAAGAATACGATACATCTAGATATTTGAAACCTAGGAATTGGATATGCTGATGCGAATGAAAAATGTATTTGATACGATTCATTGTTTCTGAATAATTATATTAACAAAAAGTACCTACCGTGTAAATCGAGGAAAGCAATCGAATAATCGAGAATTCGAATTATATTCGTCGAATATTTAATTAAAATGTCTCAGTTCTAGTGTGAATATAGTTAATCGAAACTAATATGTTTAAATGCACAAAAAAAGAAATATGGACCTATATCGACAAAAAAACTTTAAGTATCTAAGTCTAAATAGTGAAGCATTTAATGTAGTAGCTCGTGGCTGTATTTAAACCATAGGGAAAGTTTGAAGAAAACAGAAAGTGCTGTAATAAATTATTGTGGCTGAAGCTTACAGCAGACTTGAGCTTGGGTGTGAGAGTCGGAGTGCACCAGAGAAGTGGTGACGGATATAGCTCGACCCTCCGTTCCACCTGCACCGGGATTAGTATGTTATTGTCCCAGTCGATAGTAAAAATGCATGGATATGCAGTCAGCATTTAGTGCGTTCACATTCAATGTATTATTAATTATAATTTCTAGTAAAAACTGTAAGGTACATCGCTAGTATTACAAAGTTTCAGCATTGTAAATAATTATTACGGTTAATCTTTCATAGACAAACTTCACGAATATACAACATTCATTTTATATTTTACGCTTATTAAATCGCAAGAAAACACCACATTTAGGTTATAAAAATTAGATCACGTTATTAAATCGAGCTACGATATCCAATTGTAGAATCAAAAGAAATATATCAGCAAAAGTTACGTGTTCGTAATAAGTGTGTAACTTCTATCAAACATTTTGATCATTCTTAAATTGAATGCAACGTGAATTACATGCAAGACATAGAAATGAAACTTACCAATGCTGGAGAAGGACTCGGAATGTTGCAAATTTGATTTCATGGTATTTTCCGAATATTGATTTCTCGACGAACTTTCCGTCGTACTTTCGAAAACCTCGCTTTCCATGTCTATCGTTGATAATTCATCTGTTTCCACGACTAGTGTACTTTTGCAAGTGGGGCACTTTAACTGTTTTACACCTAAAAAAATAAACATTCTTTTTATTATAATGATTATTACACAACCGGACATACAACTATATACTACTACTGAAAACGTACCCGACACAGATGTACTTATGACAGTGGCATATTCTATATCTTGAGAGAAATGAGTCGAACATTTCATGCATTTAAAAACTTTCAATGAGATCGTTCGTTTTTTCATCCTTTCGCCAATAGTTGTTACTATTTTCTGCGATACAGTCAGATAATAAACTAACATTAGCATGTATGTCGCTGACATCGATATAATGTTTACTTCGTTCTTCTTACCTTTGCATCGTCTGGTTGTACGAAATATCTTCTGTTTTGACGAGTTTCTCGTGTTGTATCAAAAATGATATCTACCGTGATCGGTTCGCTTCTACCCAGCACGCACGATAACACAGAACTCGTCGACCAACAAGACTTTAATTTCCCAGTCATCGAATCTCTCTCTTTAATGTCACTGTAATACTTATATAATTAATATTATTCAGCAACTAATTAGTATATTCGAATATAAAGAACACTTACTCTAACGTTATTATCAAGAACACTTCTTCCAATTCGTGATCGTTCTTCTTTTTGTGTACTAGATACAAATCTCCTTTTTCTAGATATTAAAAAGCAAGAGAAAATAAAATATTTTTTTTTTATATGTAAATACATTAGAATGATATTTCTGATAGCACACCTTCGTCTGGGTCATAGGGAGGGTCAGGTATGTTTACGACTGCGATTGCTGTGTCGCTGGTCGATTCAGGAATACTCTGTTCCTCCCTTGATGTTTCGATATGTTCTTCCTTTTCGTTACTGGTTTCGTTGTTTTCCGTTGTCGAATGTTTTTCGGTTTCTTCCGCCGTCTCGGTCGTGTCATCTAAAGTTTCTGTAGCAGATTCTGAGGACGACTGCAAACCCATAATGTCTTGAACGACTGTTCCAGCGTAACTGCTTAACCATGCGTCCTCGCCATATGTTTCTCGCAACGCTAAAATTTGTTTCTTCGTTTCCAAATGGTCTTTCGACGACTCTACAAAGAATTAAAATAAATCAAATATTTGAAGTTGTACCATAAATAATTTTTTGAAAGTATTCGGTAAAAAATAATTAATCACCTGAATACGATCTGTAAATAATATAATTCTCTTTTAGCTTTTTATGTTCGTGTTCATC